TATATATATATTCTCATGGCATTTAGGGGTTGAAATGAAATGACAAATAAATTATATTTTAAAACAGCATGGGGCTTATGAGGGGGTCCCTGGAATTTTTTTTCACCCTTGTAAGGGGTCCCCAGACCCAAATGGCTTGAGAACCCCTGCTCTAATGAAACGGATCCTACGTTTACCTTTCTGAGCTGTGATGATGATGCTCAAGAAGCTGGTTAGAATACATACTGYATGTGGAGAGCAATTTGCTGAGATGTACCTGGGACTTACTTGGTACACACCTGGTACATTCATGGAACATACCGGGTACGTACTTACAYTAAAATAAGTTTTCTCCGGGACAAACAAAGCATTCACCAATCCAATCAACACATATTATTGTTTTTAATTTCTGACCAGCACAACTAAAACTCAGTTTTCAACTTCTTAGTCCAGAAACTCTGCCATGAAAGGCTGCAGACAATGTGCATTWTTAGAGGAATGCTAGCACTTTATTYTAGGTTTTTATTAAAGGCTGTTGGGGGGGCAAGCTGGAGATGGTCCAAGGGTCGCTTTTGGCACTCAGACCGCATTTTGTGTCTGAGGCATTTTGTGTGATCTAAAAGCTTTCCCACAATTTAAACCCAMTGTTTCAAGATGCTCCCTCATCCTCCAAGAAAAATAACAAAAGAAAAAAAAAAGCTCCCTCATTCTCAGAACGACCCCCTTACTGAGTTGCTTTCTGATTGTGTGCACGCATGTGTGTATGTGGACTAATTGGTCAGGATGCATTTCTCCAAACGTCACTGGTCCCAGAGCTTCCGGCCAATCAAGAAGCCTGCAGTTAAAACCCCACAASTTATTAACCTGAGTGATCAGGAGGGAAGAGGAAGAGTAAATATGAAGGTCACAGATCCGGTATTTAACTTCATTGTCCTGCTGTGGAGCGCGCAGAAAGGACGCATCCAGCCTGACCTGCCAGCAGGCTGCGCGTCTCCTCAGAAGCTGAGGGAGTAGCTCAGGGAGGAGGAGGAGGAGGAGGAGGAGGAGGAAGATTTCAGCACCRGAGCTGTTCGTTGCTTGCTTTGGTGGGGACTCAGAATTGCGTCCACTGCTACTGCTGCTGGGAGCATAAACTGCTGTGCCATCCATATCCCCCCTCCTCCCCGGCTCTTCCCCCACCCCCACCCCCCCTGCGGGGCTGCAGACGGGCCGAGCAAAGACTTCATCTGAGCAAAGTGTTGCCATGCTGGACGGCCGGGATTGAGGATAAAGTCTCCAGTAAGTCTCGGTGAACACCAGTCTCTACGGTGAGTTATTTTTATTATTTTTTTTTCTGAAGAAAATAAAATGCACGTGCTGCTCCATATTCGGTTTCATGTTCTGCATAGGTGATTCTGCAGGGAAGCCTCATTAAATACGCTTGCAAGGGAAGGATATTTAGGTCAGCATCATTTTGGGTGTGGATGCATGCGATTCTACAGGAGTTCTCATCTCTCATCTCCGCTCTGATCACAGAAGATGAACACAAACTGGATTTAAAAGCGAGGGAATCATACTGTRGTTAGCGCGCGTGCGTCATCATAGGTTTCCCATCAGCTTATCATGCAGTAAGTATGAGAAAGGCTTGGACTCGATGCCCCCCTCTCTCTGCAGCAGATATTAGTTTCGGCTATCCACTTTTCCCCCCRCTGCTGCACAGAGAGCAAGCTGCATCTTTGTTGTTATCTCCTGACTCGACTCCCTCAGAGGTCCACAAAGMTGAATTTGTTTTTATTTGTCTTGGACAGAGTCCTGCCTCTCAGCCAGTGGTAGCTCTAATGGGTGGCATGGGGTGGCAG